GTCTATGTTTCTTGCATCTCACGACTATGTCGTGTATGAAATAATGTCTGTGGGCATGTGTGTAAAACAACAAACTGATATTTATATATAATCATTTGTAATTGCATATACATTGTTGTTATTAATTGTGGCTGGAACAATAATGTAGCTGTAAAAATAGTTTAAATAGCTAGAACTTTAAGCAGGCTGTGTGAATTTTACTGTGGACTGACTGTTTTGAAACTTATATAGTAGTTAAATAGCCCCTAGACCTCAGTAAACGTGAAAAAAAGCCAGGAAATTTCAGTTTTGACAATATGGGACCTTTAAAGGAACACACTCCAGACAGTTTCAAAGTTGTCCCTCGTCTGTGCTTCGATTAGTTTTCTCCTATTTTCCACACATGTTCCCGTCTTAAGCACTGCAGTCACGGATTTCGTCGCACACAGAGCCGTTCACGTTTGAACTCGCGTGACTTGCTGCATGCTCTCATTCACATCCTCCACATTCATAACCCAGCAACGTCGGGTTACTTATTACTGATATCAACCCAAATTGGGTCAAATCAAGCCAGCTTCCTAACCTAACAGCTTCGTATTTTATATGTCTAGGCTATAAAAAAGTACACAGTGTATGTTTTTGCTTAATCGCTTGCAAATATAAGATTGTTAGGTCATATACCCCGTAATATTAGAATAGGTACCCCTTAGTTTCAAAATACTTACAGTAGAAATCATTTGTAATTTTACAGATTATTACTCCTTTATTTCCCAAACTTCGCATATTGTTACCTTATACCTACACGGAGGTACTGAATAGGTACACTGTAATTACAAAAAAGTTACGCTGTAAATTCTGTTTACTTACGCAGTACATTGTGGGTTGTAATCTAAAGCATTACCTAAAATTCATACTGTAGTGTAAAAGTATATAGGACTGTAAAACAAATTTTTTTTTTTTTTCTTCGAGCTGTTTGAGTCACTTTATGTTTTTATCTTAACAGACTTACCCAAAACTGAACTGACTGTAGATCCAAAGAGTCCTGTATTCACTGGAGAGACAGTCAATCTGAAGTGTGTAATAAAGTCTGATCACAGTCACTGGTCATATTACTGGAGATATGAGTGGTATAAAGGCAACACATACAACAGTGTAATGTTACAGCCGTCTGAGCGTTACACTGTAAACAGTGACACTCTTACTATCAGAGGAGCTACTGAGTCTGATCAGAATCAGTACTGGTGTAGAGTATGGATAAATGGAAGACCATCATCCTCACAGGAGAGCAACCAAATGTATCTTGCTGTTAATGGTGAGTAAATAAAATAAACACTTACATTTACATTTAGGGATGTAACTGCCATTAATAAGAAAAGAAGATGCTCAAATCTGCGTGTGTGACGCACGAGAGAAAGTGTGGTCTGTTCTAGCGCGTCACACACGTGTTCAGTGATGCTCACGTTTGTAACGAACACTCATTCATCACTCATCATCCTTTACTTTTATCTGCCGTCTGAGACTAAGTTGTTATAATATATGGGATGTCTCGATTCGGATTTGACTGACAGACTGGCATTCTGACACCGCGAGCTTCATGATTTCTAACCTTATCGTCACTTTATGTTGCAATTACTCTGCTTATTATACATATAAAATACAAGTTTATATCAAGTAGTACCATATTCATAATTGTGACCACAACGTCTGTTTACAATGTCTACCATTGTAACATGTTTACAGTAGTCTACTTCATACAATGTCTGTATACAGTAGGGTGATATCAGGCAAATTGGGCCATCAGGTAAAATGGGCCATTTGAAGTTTGAGTGTCTTATCTCTTTAAAAGTTAACAGTCAATGACTACAAAGAATGTCAAACTGTTGCCATAACAGTACATTTAGCAAATGATTTTATTGGTCTGAGGTTGCTAAGGGGGGAGGGGCAATGCCTCATTTTGAGACTGCCGCAAGATGGCCTGACATATCCAATCTTACTTCTCAATAATAAGGTTGATAAATCAATGAAAATCAAATGCACATTTAGAAATAGTGATTCGTAACCCATGTCTTGATGGCCTCTGTGAAATAAAATGCTGATTTTGCTAAATAATCCAGATTTATATATATATATATATATATGTGTGTCATTTCAGTTAAAATGGGCCATCTTCTGAGTTGAGTTTAAGCAGAAATTCTAGTGGTTCCTCTTAATACAAATTATTTATATTATTAATATATTGTATTAATGCATTTGTGACATAAATCTTTTTCACATTTTACCTTCTAAATGTGTTTGTGATGTGTGTTTATGTGTGCTCGACTATGTTTGTGTGTGCATGTTAGTGAGGCATGTGTATGTGTACACACAAACATAGTTGTGCACACATGGGCACACACTCACTGAAAAGAGAAAGGTGAAAGGGATATTTTGATATAGAAGATATAGGCATTCTGTTGTAAGATCAGTCACTTGATTTTATTACCAAAATGAGAAAGGCCCATGGGAAAAGAACCAAGCCACCTTCTTGCCTTCTCACGAGTCAGGAACACCTTGACTACATAAACACAAAGACAAAAAAGAAACCAAGAGGAAAAAAGGTAAGAAGAACCACAGAGAAGAGAAAGATCCCTGCAAAGTTTGCCATACCCTCTACGGTGACCCCAGTGACCCAAAGGCCACTGAGGACTGGGTGTGCTGTGAGCACTGTAGTGCCTGGTTTCATGAGCGCTGTGGTGAAGGGAATGTCATTTTTGATGACGATGGCTTTACCTGTCAAGACTGTTTTTGAAAAACCTTCAGATTGCACACACACACACACACACACACACTAGTTGTTCAGGTTATTGTTAAATTTTTCATGAAGTTTATGTTGTATTGATGAAATTGATTGAAAGGTTTGAGTGTCTTATCTCTTCTCTTTGAAATTCATTGCAGTCATTGGCTGTTAATTTTTAAACTGTTGCCATAACACTACTTGTTATTGTTACATGGTTTTTTTTTTATGAAATGTATGTTTTATTGATGGAATTGATTTAAATTGATGTTTTAATGTAATTCAAATTAATGTTCTAATGTAATTTAAATGCAGTGTTACACTGTTACTGAGGAACGAGGAGACGTAGAGATAATACAACAACGAGATACTTTAATGATCCAACAATTCCAGGGAACACAGGGCACGCAGGAGACACACATAGCATAAAATGACGATTAACACTGGACGCTAGACATGGGAACACACAGGGCTAAAGTACTCAACTAAACGAGGGGATGACGAGACACACCTGGACTCAATGAAACACAATAGGAACAGGAAGGAAACCAAATATGGGCACGTAACACACGAGGGAAATCTAGGTCATGGGGAGCAAAACACAACACAGACAGTCCATCTTCCTGACATATCGCCCCCCTCCCAGAAGGCGCATCCTCGCGCTGAAGAAACAACAGAAGGAGGGATGGGTGGGAGCTTGGGAGGAGGCTCAGTAGGAGGATGGACTCCCAGGAGGGGGCCGGCAGATAGAGTCCAGGGTGGATCAGACGGAGGGAGGAGCCAAGGAGGATGCAGGAGGAGCCAGGGTGGATCAGACGGAGAGAGGAGCCAGGGAGATGACAAGAGGGACTTGGAGCATGCGGCGCCAGGTGGGACCCAGGCCACAGCCATAATGGCGACTCACGGTGGAGTCGACGGAGGGAGGAGCCATAAAGGAGGAAGGGCTGACAACTCCAGGGGGCCGACCAACGGTGGCAGAGCAGGTGGCGGAGGAGCCCTAGTAAAACAATTCTGCAAAGAAGAGTGGGCCAAAATTCCTCCACAGCGATGTGAAAGACTCATTGCCAGTTATCGCAAACGCTTGATTGCAGTTGTTGCTGCAAAGTGTGGCACAACCAGTTATTCGATTTAGGGGGCAATTACTTTTTCACGTAGTGCCAGGCAGGTTTGAACAGCTTTTTTTCCCTTAATAAATGAAATCATTATTTCAAAACTACATTTTACATTTACTCGGGTTATCTTTGTGTAATATTGAAATTTGTTTGATGATCTGAATCATTCAAGTGTGACAAATATGCAAAAATAAAAAAAAACAGGAAGGTGGCAAAAACTTTTTTACACCACTGCACATGCATGCATGCATGCATGCGTAAATAAATAAATAAAACAAACAAATTAATAAATTAATAAATAAGTAAATAAATAAAAGGTGGCATTATGATATTGTCACGTATGCCTACGAAGAGGAGCGAGGAACACGGAGACGAGAGATAATCACAGTCAACAGTCTTTAATAATCCACAGATGCAGGGAAACACAGGGCAGGCTGGAGACACATGTAGCACATAGAGACGTTAGACACCGGACCAGGAAACATGGGGCAGACAACTCTTTAAGTACTGAACTAAACAAGGTAATTAACGAGACACACCAGAAATCACTGAGACAATGAAACATAGGAGAAACTTGGTCACAGGGAGCACATGGGGAGAAAAACAAACACAAAACAGGTACATATTCCTGACATATCGCACCCCTCCCGGAAGGCGCGTCCTTGCGCTGTAGAAACAACAGAGGGAGGGACGGGTGGGACCTTGGGAGGAGGCTCGGGAGGAGGACGGACACCCGGGAGGGATGAAGGAGGGAGGAGCCAGGGAGGAGAGAGGAGGGACTTGGAGCATGCGGCGCCAGGTGGGACCCAGGCCACAGCCATAATGGCGACTCACGGTGGAGCCGACGGAGGGAGGAGCCATAAAGGAGGAAGGGCTGACAACTCCAGGGGGCCGACCAACGGTGGCAGAGCAGGTGGCGGAGGAGCCCTAGGCGGAGACGGAGAGCCGATGAGCCAGGGCGATGGGGAGGATCCGGAGGGCCAAGGCGGAGCAGATGCCTCTGGCGACCGAGGCGGAGGCGTGGATCCGGAAGGCCGCGGTGGAGTCAGAGTGCCAGATGACTGAGGGAAGGAGGAGCCTGACAGAGCCGGAGGGACGAGGCGCAGCCAGAGGAGTGGAGTCCCGAGGCGATGGATGATCGACGGCAGACCAAGGCAGAGCCGGATGGACGAGGGAGCCCGGCGGAGCCAGTGGACTGCTGGGCCACAGCGGAGAGGAGGGAGCTAGGAGCCATGGTGGAGCCTTCGGGCGGGCATTTGTGAGCCTCCGGGCATTCAGGGCTTAACTCAGGAAAGGGAGCCCTCTCTTTCGGAGTTACACAGTCCCAGATCCATAATTAGCTCACCCTCAGCCACGGTGCACACTGTAAAAAATAAGTGTAATTTGAACTGTAACATTTTGTAAAAACGCTACGGAAAAAAACTGTTAATAGGTTAACAGTAAGTTCCCGTACTATATACAGGGAAAAACTGTTTTTTAAGTTTTTGTTATTAGTTATGCATATTTGGGCTTTATGTTACATCTTCTGTTGTTTAATGAAAGTTTAATGCATTATTTAAGTATCATGTGTGTAACCACAGCTGCCAAAATTATTTTGTAAAAACTACAGAATTTTTTTTACAGTGCATTGGGTGAAGCTCCTCTCTGCGCTTTCACTGTCCACGGCTTTCTCCCTCGTGGCGGGCGTTGTAGCCGGCTCTCGCACCTGGTCTGATGATCTGTGAGGCTCTGGCTCCATACCGATCCTCAGCTTTGTCGCACTCCTAGGTGTAAGAACCCACCCGCCAGCCCATTTTATGTGAGCATAGCAACTTGAGTTCTTGGCATTTCTCTGTCAACTTTTAGTGACCTGGACCATGTGCCCAGGGGGGAAGGATGGGTGAAGGGACTGAAGAGCAGATGGTCTTTCTTCCAGATCTTCCTATCTTGATCAAAGCCCATTGTTTCTGAGTGTTTGGCTTTACGAGGAGATCAAAGCCCAGTGTTTTGTGGCATGGCATTTGCATTGCGAGAGTGTTTGGCTTCACAAAGAATTTATTTTATAAGGAAATAATTTCACTCCTTTCATAGGCGATGGCTCGTCGGTCGCAATGGGCTCGGGCTCTCCATCAACAGTGGGTTCAGGCTTGCGCTCCGCGCAGTGGGGAGATGATGGTCTGGGCACTGTGTTTTGAATCGGAGGTAGACTCTCTCCAGACACCGGATGATAGCCTCCCTCCAGCACAGTCCAGTGGTGTCTGGGAGATGGGGGGGGCTGTTTGCGTGCAAACAGTTTAACACGCAGGTAAACTGTTTGCCGGTCCACTGTTCTGTCACACTGCTACTGTGAGGAGCGAGGAGACGTAGAGTTAATACAACAACGAGAGACTTTAATGATCCAAAATTCCAAGGAACACAGGGCACGGAGGAGACACATAGCATAAAATGATGATTAACATTGGACGCTAGACATGGGACCACACAGGGCTAAAGTAGTCAACTAAATGAGGGGATGACGAGACACACCTGGACTCAATGAAACACAATAGGAACAGGAAGGAAACCAAATATGGGCACGTAACACACGAGTGAAAACTAGGTCATGGGGAGCAAAACACAATACAGACAGTCCATCTTCCTGACAGTTACATTATAAAATTAAACATAATTAAATGTGTTTTATCAGAAATGTCTCTATTTCACTTTGCAGATTGACTGGCCCATTTTTTTGCTGATCAGCCAGCCAATTTTACCTGAACACTGCTTTCTCAAAAAATGTGGGGCAGATAATGTTTCAAAACATTAGTAGGGCCTGAACAATTATATTTTATTACATCAATTCAACACAAACATATTCAAAACAGTCCTTATTAATCATACGAACACAGTTAAATGTCATACATGGGTTTTTTGTTAGTGCCCCAAGCGATTTACCAAAAAGTGTGATTTACCAATTTGCCTGATATCACCCTATGTGCAAATACATAGAGAGAGAGTGTATCTTGTAATATATATATATATATATATATATACATCATATATTACTTTTGCTATTTTTATATTACTTTTGCTCTCTGCACAGCTCTGTATACATTCGATTGGTTTTAATAACTTTAGTGTACTTGAAGTTTGCACAAAACATATATTCAAGTATCGGACTGGGACTCGGTATCGGCAGATACTCAATTGTCACACCCCTTTGGATGTTTTCTTGTGTTTTCATCCCTCATGTGTTCATTGACCCTGTTTCTGTCTCTCTTTCATTAGTTAGTTCCTTGTGCCCATATTTGGTTGTTCCTGTTCTCGTTATGTCTTTATTAGTTCATCTGCCTCACCTGCCTGTGCCTCATCAAGCTCCCCTTTATTAAGTGAAGTCTGTGCATTCTGTGTTTGTCCAGTGTTAAAGTTGAGTTGTACGTGTGTGTGTGTGTGTTACCTGCCTATACCGTCTGTGGATTCCTACTGTGTGGATTATATTAAAGATTATTTGCATTCATCTTTGTCATACGTTTATCAGGCCATATTGTGACATCAAAATTCAATGATTCGGATCAAATCAATCAGGGACACAAAAACAACCTGATTGGGACATCTACATTACATTTACATTTAATCTTTTAGCAGATTTTTTTATAAGCAACTTACAAATGAAGACAATAGCAATCAAAACAAAACAAAAAATAGCAAAAATATGGAAGTGCTGAGACAAGTTGCATAGTCTAACTCAGCACATGACAAGGTTTTTTTTTTTTTTAATAAAAAGAAAAAAAAGTAGATAAAATACAATAGAGAGAGCTAGTTTTAGAGGGTCAAGTTCTTATTATTTTTTTTTATAATGAATAAAAAGAAAACAAGTATATAGAATAGAAACATGCATAAACGTCAATGCTACTTTTCTAACACCTCTCTTCAGGATCTGAATCTGTTCTTGCTCTCCTGCAGATCTGAAGCCAAAGCCTGAACTCACATCAGATGCTGCAGGAGCTGCACTGACAGAAAACACAGTGACTTTGACCTGTCGCGTGAATCTGTCCCCTGGATGGGACTTTTACTGGTACACACACACACTGAACTCTGAGACAAAGAAGAGAGTAATAAACTTCTACAGAGTGAAGATTGATTCAGTGTCTGATGGAGGCCAGTACTGGTGTAGAGCTGGAAGAGGGGAACCAGTCTACTACACACAATACAGTGATGCACTGTGGGTGAATGTTACAGGTGAGAGAAAACATAGTATCTGACACAACATACAGATCAGAGACAATATCTACAGAACATCTAAAACTTTGAATCTAAAATGAATGCAATAATCTGTGTTTGTACAGTGAGTCCTAAAGCTGTGGTGACGGTACGGCCTGATGAACGAGTGTTCAGAGGAGAAACAGTCACTCTCAGATGTGATATAAAGTGGGGAGGAGACACTGAGTGGACGTACAGATGGGAAACAGAGGGAACAAACTACCAATATACAAACTCTGTCAGCCGAATCTCAACACAAGAGTTGAACATCAGGAGTGTTGATCACTTTCACAGCGGTAAATACACCTGTACAGGACAGATGGGAACACAAAGCTCTCAGCGCAGTGATGCTGTTACACTGACTGTATCAGGTGAGTTTGTGTGTTTGTTCATTATTATCAGTGTGAACAGCTTCTCTCTCAGTCTCTCTGTGGCTCTATAACTCCTCATGTTTTGTTCAGCTGAAGCTCAGGCAGCAGTGCGAGTGTCTCCACAGCCGTGGCTGACTGAAGGAGACTCAGTGACTCTGATCTGTGAGGTTACAGGCTCCTCTACAGGCTGGACGTTCAGCTGGTTCAGAGATGATGATCATCTGTCCGACAGCAGCAGAGGAGCTGGAGGCTCTTACACTCTCAGTCCTGCTGCTCTACAGCACACAGGAGTTTATACGTGCAGAGCAGAGAGAGGACGAGCAGCCTATTACACAAAGTACAGTAACACACAGCCACTGTGGATCACTGGTGAGTCTGTGTGACATTACTTATGCTTGTGCTCATCCGTATTTGTGTTTTATTACAGTCTCTGGCACAAGGGGACAAAACCATGTGAAACCAATTTAAACCACAAAAATCTGCTCTGACTTCCCTCCAATTCTCAGTTTAAACCAGATCAGAATCACTATCAAATACAAACTCATAATATATAATATATAAATAGAGCATTGCGTTAGCAGCTCAAAAGGTTGTGGGTTCGATTCCCAGGGAACACACATACTGGTAAAAAATGTATAGCCTGAATGCACTGTAAGCCGCTTTGGATAAAAGCGTCTGCTAAATGCATAAATTAAAATTATTAATTATAAATTATATGCATAAGACCCTTCTTATTTTAAACTTTAGTGCTAAATTTCATCTTAATTTTATTTAATTACAGATATTATTATACAAACACGTATGCTGTCGATTTTGAGTGTGAGTTTCCTCTTTTCAGGTGTCTCTGCTTCAGTGTCTCTGGTGGTCAGTCCCAGCAGAAGTCAACACTTCTCATCTGACTCTCTCTCTCTGAGCTGTGAGGATCAGAGTAACTCTGCTGGATGGACAGTGAGAAGATACACAGACAGAAACACAGAAGATTGTTCAAAACTAACAGGATCTACATGTCGGATCGTCTCTCTCAACACATCTGACGCTGGAGTTTACTGGTGTCAGTCTGAATCTGGAGAGAAACATCATCCTCTCAACATCACTGTTCATGGTGAGTCCTGTTTCTAATCACATCTACACACTTTTTAATATGTTATTTCTGTTATAGTTATGTTAAACCTGTCCACATTCATCAGACAGTCTCTTCCCATTTAAATGGACAGTTTTTGTTCAGATTAATCAGCAAATTGGACTCAGTTTCATGCCAGCTGTTAAAAGTCTGACTACAAAACATACTCCCATGGCAATTCATAACTATTTTACAATGTGGCGAAATTATGGCTAATTTCTGTAAAATCTTCTCATGGCCAACTGATGGTTAGGTTTAGGGATGGACCATTCACATACAAATTCATACGATTTTGGCACCTAATGAAATGACTGCATAATGCTAAAAATCACATTGGAAGCATAAAGTACAATTCAGTTCATAAGATAGCAAAATTTTTGCCCCTGAGTAGTTTTGATGTGCTCTTACTATTTGCAGTAAGCACACGTTTCTTGTGTTGTGTAGATGGTGATGTGATTCTGCTGAGTTCTGTTGATCCTGTGATTGAGGGAGATACTCTGACTCTACACTGTTTACATCGATCTACAAACTCCTCGATCCTCAGAGCTGATTTCTATAAAGACGGATCACTTGTCCAGAATCAGACAACAGGAGAGATGAGTATCACGACTGTCTCAAAGTCACATGAGGGTCTGTACTACTGTAAAACAGAGAGAGGACAGTCACTGCACAGCTGGATCTCAGTCAGAGGTCTGGAAATATTGAGTGATTTTATGTATGTTTGTAATTGTATCATACATTGTCACTAATGAACAGATCTTATCATGTTCTCTGGTCTCAGCAGCTTCATCTTCTCTTCTGGTCGCTGGTGTGGTTGTGGGATTGAGTGTTTGCCTGTTGTTCTTCCTCTCACTGCTGCTGATGTGGAGATACAAGAAGAACAAAGGTGTGGAGCAGTTCATAACATGATTAATACAACTGAACAGCAACAATAACGTTTCTGAGTAAAGGCTCATGAGAAGATCTGAATATCAGACTAAAGAGACACTGCAGATACTCTTGAGTGATCATAATGCTCTTTGTTTCTGTTATAGATCAGCAGCGTAACATTAACCAGACATCAGTCCCAAATCAATCTGCACAATCTCAACTGGAAAACTATCCTCTACAGTCTGGTCAGCCTCAATAACTAATTATTAAAAGGAATAGTACACATACAAAAATGCTTTTTACCTTTTATCCTCAAATGCTTGTTTGCTGTCCAGCAGGTTATGATCACATTTATGACGACGTGACTGAAGTGAATAAGAGAGACAGAGGTTGAGTCTTAAACTTTATTTATACACATATAATTCAAAAATCAACAAATATCGTTCAGTCGTGTTGGCTTGAATTGTTTTAGATGATCCAGAGCCCTTGGTAGAGGTCACATATTCAGAGGTCACTGTTAAGAAAAAGATGGACAAAGGTTAAAAAAAAACACTCTTAACTTCACCTGTACAATATGATCAGTCTTTAACCACATTATTCCATTTCTAATTCAACAAATAAAAAATGCATATTTATTTCAAAATAATATCATTATTATTTTTCCAGGTAATACTAAGGCAGAGTCAAATAATGTGACATACTCAGAAGTCAGAACAAAAGGAAAGAAATGCAAAAATAAAGGTGAGTTCCTGTTTTTTCCTGAAGTACAATATTTCCAGAATGTTCTATATAATCTGATTGATCTTCTGTTTTGTAGATATTAATACTGCAGGAACCAGTGATTTGACTTACGCACAGATCAATATACAAGACAAAAAGAACACCAAAGGCAAAGGTAAACACACAACAAACTGCATCTAAACACAACTGTCTGAATGATTCGTCACATTTAGCTCAGATATAATGATTTTATAATATCAGGAAAATAAACCCTTTACAATCATAAACAGTACTAATAGAGCCAATTCATGCAACTTCATTTTCCAAATGTATTACATCAACCATGTCTGTATGTTGTTTACTGATTCTGCACTCTTGAATTTCGATGATAAAAACAGGCCTAGACTAGAGTCAGATAGCATCCTGTTGTTTTTCATGATAGGTGCTGGACTTTTTGATATTCTGATTGAAATGAAATCTAAGGACAAACACAGAAGTACATAAAGAGATGCTCTGAAATGCCAACAGCAGGTTACAGATCATGTGAAAAAGTGTGAAATAAATCATTTTAACAGAACCTGGTTAAAAATAAATAAATAAACGTTTCTTAATCATACTTCTTTTAGCTGGACATTATATTAACATTTTTAATCAAAATACATGTTTTAATCAATATACACTTCTGTTTCTTTGTGCTTTGAGAGCCTCCACTCCTTCTTATGATCATGGATTATCATTTATCAGTGTTGCAGATGCTAGCATTATGTTCATTCGTTGCCTCTCTGTTGTTCTCTATCAGGAAAGAGCAGTGAGTCTGGAGACACTTTGTACTCTGAACTGAACCACAACAGAGATAGAGGTGAGAGAAACACAAAGTCAGGCTTCATCACTATTACAGTCAAACCACTAAGCTTACAAAATAACCATCATGCACCGTTTCTGCTACAGATCAGAATGATTCCTAAAGTCACGTGGCTTGTTGAAGAAATGTATAAATCTTATATTGTATCATTATTTTATCGTTATTGATTATTTGTGTTCTTCAGATGCTGATGCTGGAGTTGGTGATGCAACTTATGCTCTAGCTTTTTGGAAGAAGAATAAAACACGTAAGAATTCTGTTACAATAACTGACAACAAGCTCATAATTTGTGCTCGTCCCTGCGGATTGTGGCATATATTGGTTCCTTTCCATTTGAAACCTGCTTTAAGTGATTTGGTTCAAGTTATTTGTGATGATCAGTTTCATCATGATCTTAGAACTATAAAATGTCAAATGAATGAGCTCATTATTCATATCTCCTGCATAATGCATCATCTTTTATCTGCATGATCTGTTTAAAGGTCCCTGAGTGCAGAGAAGACAACAGACGGCTAAAAGAGATTCACACCAGCAGACACAGTAACGCTTGCATTGCTTAAGAAATGTGAACTGCTTATGCACATGCTTGATTGAAAGACTTTAGAGATAGGCACTGTATTAGCTGTACACATTATGTAGGCAAACAAATCTATCTGTAATATATATTAAATAATTTTCCATTTGAGAACTTTTGTTTAACAGCTTTACGTGAAACTGCTCTTCAAGTTATTACATTATTACATGATTCGACTGGTCCTGTACAGCAATTAAACAGTAATTGGGCACTTGTTTGATAGTTAAATATAATACGTTCTTGGTCTTATAAAATAATGCCTATGTTTTTGCCAAGACGGTGAGACTAAGATGATTTTCTTGCATATATTCATAAATACTGCTTTTTACATTAATATATTTTCCTCTATTTCATATATGCTGTTTTGTGCTACATTAATGAAGTCAGAGATTTACATTTGCTAAATAAACACAAAAGAACAAACATTTGTATGTTTCCTTTGCATGATTTTTTCACAGTTAGGGTCATTTAACCATAGGTAAAAGTAATTCCAGGTTAGTAGCACTAAACAAATCAGCATTTTGCTTTGAATGTTGAAAAATTTGGATGAAGATACTACCTGACACTCGTGAAGGTCTGTTCACATGTGTGAGATTGATTACCTCCTGCTGTCAGTCTTAGTCCAGCAGCCTCTGGAGGGAATCCTGCAGTGGATTCCTGAAGTGGCATCAGTGGCTGACAGTATATCTTGATGGCATTGCTGACAGGCAGATGATCAGCGTCATCTAGTTCCTATAAAAAGTGGAATAGAAGTTAGAGGTAAGGAGAGGTTGTTTCTTTTAAGAAGACTTTAAAACTGAATTTCTTAAAATGAGATGCATGATTAACAAACTAAACCAGAAGAATATCATCAGCGGTGATGAGTCATAAAGTGACATAATGGGACACATAATGGGAAATATGTATAATGCTGAGAATGATCTTGATTATTCATTTAAAACAGCTGTTGATATTTTTTATTTCCCCGTTTGTTTTGTTGCCCCGTGGGGTGTTTGTGTTCCCTTTTTCTCTCACAAGATTTCTGTCACAATGCTCCAGTGAATCCTCTCGATGTCACCTGGATCAGCTTATTGATTGTTGTATGAATGTTTTATTCATAAATAAATGAATAATTTAAATTTAAATATAATTGATTAAAAATGTATACATGTAATAATGTTTATTACTTTTGTATTTATTACTTATTTTATGACTTATCTTTTATGTATTATTATTTTTATTTATTACTCGTTTTTATTTGTTACTTATATTTTATTTATTTATTTATTATAAAGCATAAAGGAATAAAGTGAAGAAAATGCTAGGTCTAACTCTAGCATTGAAATAATCATTTTGGACTATTTGCAAATAATATCTCAAAATCTGCATGTTCACTCCTGGATCGGACAATACAAACACACTCACGTACCGTTTTTGTACATATTGTATATATTGCTTTTTTCTTGTGTTACTTGTATAATGCACTTTGGGTTGGCGTTTATTCTTGGATTCTGTGTTGTTTATTTTGTGTGTATTCAATCAAAAACTATTTTAGGAGGGAAAGAAAATTAACTTTATTGGTGTAGCCTCTCCTACTTAGGTTGGTTCTTACAACTGATTCACACAAGTGGCATTTTAATGTGCGACCAGGTAATCGTGTTGCAGGAGTCATCAGTGTCTCAATCTTTAGTGGAGACAAACCACCACATACTGTGCCCTGACAATTAGGAAAACTATAGAAATTATGTTAATTATTTATATTATTAAAATATATAAACATAAAGTTCAGAAAGCTGAACAGAAGAGTAAAAGCAAAGCAGAAACAGAATAAAAACAAGTAGTTTTTAAGTTTGTTGTTTATAGGCCTACTGAGAGAGATTAAAAGGACAGAAGAGAAAAGAGATTTATTTTGCTTTCTTCTTAGTCTGAAGAACATTTTAATAGCCTAAAGAACCTTTTTTGTTTTTTTTTGCAAATAAGATTCAGTGGATGTTAAAGAAGTAGTTCACTTCCAGAATAAAGGTTTCCTGATCATTTACTCATGTTGTTCAAGATGTTCATGTGTTTCTTTCTTCAGTCGCAAAGAAATTAAGGTTTTTGAGGAAAACATTCCAGGTAGCGCTCTGCATTTCAGCTCGAGCCCGATGGGGCCCGATTTATTTACGCCCCTATAGGGCCAGGCTTCGGGCCCATTTTCACGTCATAGCTCAGATGCGGTCTGGGCATCGGGCCTGTTTTAGGCTTCTCCTTGTGTAAAAAAAATATATAATTAACCGGGTTATTTCTCGTGGCCACTAAAGTATTCTCTGTTCCCACCACTCATGAATGCATGGGCCCGTGGGAAGAGTCATGAGCATGGAGTCTCTGTCCACAAACTTCTTCAAAGTTTATTATTACATCAGTAGAATATATAGATGCAGACCAAACTCAATGAACCCCCTTTCCAGTACCTCAACTCCATGCTTATCTTGAACGCCACAAAGACCCATAAACATCTGCGCATGCTCTAAGAGCCGATTCTTTGTAGCGAACGAGAAGAGCCGACTCCCGTCGGGGAGAGCTGAATCTTCAGGCGGAGCCTTCTATTTTAGCCAAATTTAGCAATTGTGAATGGTTCAGTGTTTTCATAAAAGCCTTATTTTTATGCATTTATGCAACAACAACAAAAATACACATGCGGGCTAATCACATGGGAGGATAGACTAGGATCATACCATTATGTAAAAGAAGGAAGGGGGACACACGCTCCGAAGATAGCAACCCTGCGTTCCATTCGGAAGGGCTCATCCCTATGCCCTAATCCCTTCAAAGGGTTTACCCTCGGGAGTGAGAGCTTCGAAGGGATGAAGGGTGTAGGGGACCAAACAACTGTTTCTTGAAGTGCCCTTCTGCGTCATCATCACATGCCCACACGGAGGCGCAGTCATCATGCAAAGAATCTGCGCAAAGAATCATGGGAGCCCGAAGTGTCCATCAGTTGTACCCTTCGAAATCCTTCATTCCGAAGGGCCCTTTGAAGTGGCCAGTTTTGAGCACTTCGGTTTGGAACGACCCTTCAATGTGGCAGCCATGATTGTTTTCACTCCGAAGTGCCTTTCGGAGGGCGGTAGGCTATATCCCGTTTGGAATGCACCGCAAGTGTAGTGGTAAAGGCCAGGTACACAGAGCGACAGAGAGAGGCGAGGGATACAGATTTAAACGGAAGCGCGTTGGTTAAGGTATGAAGACACTGCATTGTTGCAGCATCGGTCCCCTCAGAGAGAGTCTTCTCAAAAACAGGACAAATGATCACAGAGAGGAGAAATCGCATCAGCACACCCAAGCTGAGGCATCTGATATTTCTGAATGCCAGCCTGCACTACAGACATGTTAAGAATTTTGCTTTTATTTATTTGATTTGTTTCCTGTGGTTCTGTGTTCAATTGTTCAATTAAAGTTTTATTAAAATGTTAAATAATAGTAACTATTTTTGTAACGAAAAAATGCATATAAATAAGGCTATTATAAAAACACTGAATACAAAATTGCTTACCAACACACAAACCATTCACAATTGCTAAATTGGGCTAAAATAGAAGGCTCCGAGTGATACTAAATAAAGAGCCATTTGGGAGCTGTAAGAGCCAAAAGAGCTGAATCTTTGAAAAGAGCCGGTGTCCTGACATTTTATCCTACCCGTCAGATTGTCCTACCAGGGTTTACTGTGCATGCGCACATCAATATTGCGTCCTTTATCTCATGCTGAACAACAATATTTAATGTATCTGCATTATTGTAAGGGTAGTTTTAGGGTTGGGGTAGGTGTAGACTTTAATAAAACACAATATAATAGGTAGAACATTTTTTATATAATAGGTAGAATAAATTGAAACATTTAATGTTGGTTTCCTGTAGCTGTATCCCTTCTAGCTACAACCGCGAATATCACACATAATTACTATATTGCATTACTGTAAAGGTAGGTTTAGGGTTGTGGTAGGTGTAGACGTTAATAAGTCATAATTTTACAGGTAGCATTTTTCGTTGTCGAGTTGTACTACCCACTGTTTTAATGGGAGTTAGCAAAATCTGACAGGGTAGCACAAATCGACAGAACACCGGACTTCCCATCACTACCATGTATGCGGTGCAGAAGCAGCACGGACTCATTTTGCTTTCACACAGAACACATTTGCAGTCCGCTCCTGGTCTGCGGCTGTTTACCACAAACACAACATTTATCCATTATTTTTATTTCAAATCCAACCGTCGTTACTTTGTTTTTCTACCTCCACACGTGCATCTATTATGTTACCTTGGTTATCTAAAGGTGCAATATTCCTTGTTTTAAAGTAAACCAAGCCAAAAAGCCACGTGTTGACTGTGAAACACAGAAGACTTTAATTATTGTGAAATTACTACATTTCCGTGTCAATCCATATTCATTATTACCGCGAACAATGCGCTGTCACTTTAATTCAGCACAGCAAAAATAGACTCAATGCGGGATCGCTGCACTGCTGCAGACACGCCGCTCCTGGAACTCACTGCCGGACCCAACCGCGTGCCGTGTGAATGCTCTGATCCGTTAACATGGGTGCAGAAAAAAATACACACCGCATACGCACTGCTGTCTGTTTTTGCTGTGCTGCATGCGCTGAATTAAAGTGGCAGTGCATTGTTTGCGCTAAAAATGAACATGGATTGACACGGAAATGTAGTTGTCAGACTCTGTTCCTGTCTTGTGTTGTGTTATCCTCCCCCACGTGCTCCATGACCCAGTTTTCCCTCATGTTTGATTATGTTTATTGATTTCAGGTGTTCCTCATTGTGTCCCTCTTCTAGTTTGGTGTGTTTAAAGTGTTTCCTGTTTTGAGTTCTCTGTGCTGTCTTGAATGTCGATCCCGTGTCCTACGTGTGATTCCCTCGATGTCAATAAAGACTGATGATTATGATTCTCCTGCGTTCTCCTCGTTCCTCGCTCCTTGTTCCTCGCTCCTCACAGTAGGCACACCGTGACAGTAGTAATTTCACAATAAATTGATATAATTAAAGTCTACTGTGTTTCACAGTCAACACGTGGCTTTTTGGCTAGGTTTAAAACAAGGAAAAGTGCACTTTTTGATCAACAAGGCAACATAATAGATGCACTTGTGGAGGTAGAAAAACAGTTCTTTAAGACCTGTGGGATTGCTTGTAATAAAGATTTAAATGCAAAAGAAAAAGCACAAGAGCCTACTGTTTCGAGCTAATTCGACCTAGCCTACTACTAAGCCCAAACCTAATCATACCCCTAACCTCATTCCTCGGATCACATAAGTTGGTGGGTCACAGAACTCATCACTACAACAGAATGAATCAGCA